GGGGGGGATCCTGCCGGTGTTTCTGAGCGCCGCGTAACCGCTCGACCCGGGGAGAGCCTTGCAAAACATCCCCCCGCTGCTCCCCGGTTAGAAACGCCCGGCCTGCCGCCGGTGGGGGTTTTACATGCGCTGAAGTAAGCTGTAACTCCGGGTTACCTCGGAGTACCTTCCCCAAAAGGCTTTGGGGGTGGTGGTTCGTTTTATTTTTTCCCCCTTTTCAATATAAAATGAACAGGAAGGGTCTCGGTAACCGCTTTGAACGGAGCTCCTGCCGAGCTCTGGCTCCCCTCCAGCTCCCTCGTCATTGTTTGGGGAGAGTTGCTACGTGAGCAGCTGCTTTCAACGCCCTTGAGAATGATTTTTGGTTTAATTTCCTCTTTACAGGTGTTCCCCCTCAAACACTACCAGGACAAGATCCGGCCTTACATTCAGCTACCGTCACACAGAAACATCACCGGGGTCGTCGAAGTCATCCTCGGGGACACCAAGGCCTATGTGTTCTTTGAAAAGGACTTTGGGGACATGCACTCCTACGTGAGGAGCTGCAAGAGGCTGAGGGAAGAGGAGGCTGCCCGGCTGTTCAAGCAGATCGTCTCTGCTGTAGCTCACTGCCACCAGTCGGCCATCGTACTTGGTGACCTCAAGCTCAGGAAATTTGTCTTCTCTAATGAAGAAAGGTAAGCGGTTGTCACCAGCCAGCCCTGGGGTGAGTGGGGAGGGAGGAATGCCACATCCAGAGATGCAAAAAGCGTCCCAGGGAGTGGAAACAGCCATGTCAGCCAGGCTTCACCTGCGAGCAATCCGAGTAGGTCCCCGTCACGTGTGTGTTGTAGGTCACAGATCTAACTGGTATGTACTTACTCTTAGTTAGATCTCCACTGATGAAAGGGAGGAAGCTCGCCGGGAGCTTCCTCTCATTCAGCAAAAGTTCAGTGAAACCTGCTGGTAGACAAAGGGACGATAGTTCGGGTGCTCGTTAGCGCCAGAAGATGTCATGTGTGCCACTCATTCAGTGTAAAATGAATAAAAGGCAGAGAAAAGGAGAGGAGGGAGGCTGAGGCTTTGGGCCAGGGAGAGGGAATGGCCCGTCTGAGGGAGCAGGAGTTGTGAGGAGCCTGAGCTCTGGTCCCTCCTCGTGCCCGGGACCTGCGCTGTGGCAGAGCCACGGTCGGGACAGGGGTGCTCGTGAGGGGTCTCCTCACTGAAATCCCCTGCTGATCAGGGTTACGCTGCTGCTGAAAGACCGGCTGTGTCCTTCAAGGCTTTTATCCCTCCTCCGCTACCAGTGGCGGTGCTTTCCGTGTCCCCTGTTCTCGTGGATGTGGGCATGCACGGGAGGGAAGGTGGGACACGGTTAAATATTGCTTTGGGAATCCTGCACTGAAGAAAAGCACTTCGGTAAAACTTAGCCTAAAGCCTAGGTTTATAGAAAGGAGATCCAGAATCTAGTTGTTAAATTTAGATTAGGGAATTAATTCAGTATTTCCCTGGAGTGTTTGCTGCTCTTGTAGTGCCTCACCACATGTGGCAGAGCCAGAAATACATTATTAATCAGCAAAACTGATGCTGACTAGCTACTTATCCTGTGGAAAGCTAAAAAAATAAGTAAAAGCTGTAATGAAGTTGTGCTTAATCTGATGAAACTGGAAGTAACGTTACAGAAGCAGAAGAAAACACGTTTTGGTTTTGGTTTTTTCTGTTTAACTGGGCTAATGCTTCTTCAGGATATCACTTATAAACGTGATAAGAAAATTAACCAGCACTGCCCCTCTTAAACAGAAACAACCGTATGTTGACATGCAAAGAAAGTAATTCCTTTGAAGGAAACTATTGCAGCTTTTCCCGCCCATAAGAAGATGAAACATTTGTTGAAATGTTACATTGCACACAGTCTTGCTCATTTGGAAATAACGCGTTGCACAGGCGAGTGTCATGTGCATCCCATTTGGCAAGAAGAGGGTTAAGCAATGGCAGGCGGACTTGGGCTCTCCGGCACAGGTGCAGTTTCAGGGCTCCTGCAGCCAATCCCGGGCCCACGGTTCGTGTTGAGTCATATTTTCCGTTTGCAGAACCAATGGGTATTTTGCGAGGTCACGCTGAGGACAGGCTGCAGCCAATGCATCTGCACCCCAGCGGGCTGCAAGGCAGTGTAGAGTCCTTCCAGGGTGAGCCGATGGCTTCCTCGCTGATGCGAAGCTCCCCTTTCCCCGCAAAATGGGAGGTCAGGGTGGACCCACCTCCACCTGGGAGGTGGCGGGTGCGGTGGTACCCTCCAGAAAGGCAAAAAGAGTAACAATTAAAAAATAAAATTAAAAAATAAAATACAAAACTCAGGAGAGCCGATGATTCCCGCAAGCACGGAAGGGAGCTGGACTTTGTGGTTTGCAAAATCACGCAGCTGGACGCTGTTTGCTCAAAGCCTGAACCGCAAATAGCAGCGTGTACGATGCATTGTAGCCGATTAACCCCCTGCAGTTGCAGTGCAACCTGCGTGGATAGAAGGTGACTTGCTGGTGTTCCTCGAGAGCCTTCTGTGTTGTTAAAATCCCCAGTAAATAAAACAAGCAGGCATTGCTGAGTGCCTACCCGATGCACATAGCTGTGCTTCCATTGCACGGGTCCAGGAGTCCAGGCAACTTCTCTGCTGCAAATTAAAAAGTGTTTCCTCTCCTTTTTATGCCTATGCGAGAAGGGGAGTGAGGATTGCTGCGGTGGGGGGGCTCGCCGTGCTCGCTTGTGCCTGGGTGTTGCTATTTCTAACCTGTGGCTTCCTCTCCTGCCCTCCCTAGGACTCAGCTGCGGCTGGAGAGCCTGGAAGACACACACATCATCAAAGGTGAAGACGATGCGCTCTCAGACAAGCACGGCTGCCCAGCGTACGTCAGCCCTGAGATCCTAAACACAACAGGGACTTACTCTGGAAAATCGGCCGACGTGTGGAGTTTGGGAGTGATGCTCTATACCCTGTTGGTGGGACGCTATCCCTTCCATGACTCGGACCCTAGCACTCTGTTTTCCAAAATCCGGCGTGGACAGTTCTGTATTCCTGACCACGTCTCCCCCAAAGCCCGATGCCTCATCCGCAGCCTCCTGCGGCGGGAGCCCTCTGAAAGACTCACTGCTCCGGAGATCTTGCTTCACCCTTGGTTTGAAGCAGTCTTGGAGCCTGGATATACAGACCAGGAGACGGGAACTTCAGATCAAATTGTTCCAGAATACCACGGAGACAATGACGATATAAGTTCCTTCTTCTGCTAACCCCGAAATCTCAAAATCCTCCATGGTTCTCACCTCCGGCATCTTCATAGGGCTTCATTTTTCCACGTTTGCAAACTCAACAGCATCTTAAAATGCCAGTATGGTCAGAAAAGTGACCTTGTTTAAAATAAACGCCAACCCATAGATCTCCGCTCCCTGAGTGTACTCAGAGTTTCATCCTCTTGCTCTGCTGGTGGGTCCGACCCGCTGGCCCTGGAGGACCCGTGCAGCTTTGCGAGAGCCGCCTGGCTTTTCTCCTGCCTCCCGCATGCTCCACCAGTGTAACTGGCCGCATCTTGGCTGCAGAGTCTTATGGCTGGTGAGGTGTGAGACAGAAAGGCAGCCCCTTCTGCTTTCCCACGGTGGCTACGGGGGTGCGGAGCCCTGGCCGCGATGCTTAGGGGGTGGGGGGCACAAGGCGTGCCTCTAACTGAGCACATCTGACAGAAATGCGTAAAAAGGGGAATCGACTCGGCGAGCCACACCGGCCGGCTTGCAAAGTAGCTTTCTGACTGTAAGCGCACTTTAATGAGGGAAGGAGGTCTTCACCTGCCACGGCCAGCTGCCTGCTCGCTGCTGCTCCTCCGGCTGATCTTGCTTTCAGAGGCATGAAGCTCCTAGATCCACCCATAAGACAAACCACTGCTGTGGCTCTTTCCGAAGCAGAAACTGGTGGATGTCCCAGCTGGATCCCCTCCGATTCCATTCGCTGACCAGGAAAGCATTTTAAATAGACTTAAGCCTCGTGTTACCATGGCGTAGCCTATATAACTTTATGCCCTCAGCGAGCTTGTCAAGTAGCAGGTCTCGTTAGCTCTGAGTGCCAAAACATATCCGTTTACCAAACCGTAACACTATCGGCTGGGGCGCCTTCCCTTGGAAAACGATAAGGGGTATCTTGTACAGTACATGTAAACACGGTTGTGTTTTCCTACAGGCTCAACTCTTAAAAACACCACATCCCCTCTCCTCTTCTCCTGCCACCCCCTAAAAAGTTAGTCTTAAGAGTAAAATCTCCAGACGCCCTTAGCTGATTATTCAGGTATGTTGTTTGCCTCTGGCTACATTTCCCCCCCCCCCCTTAAATTTTTTTTTGCATGATTATTCATAGTCTTTCCAATGTGCGTGGATAATGAATATATCTAAATCATTAGCTTCCTGGGTTGGGGGTAAGTAAAGCTTAGTCCTGCCTAAAATTTCTGCTTCGTTTCACATTTGTGTCCAGTGGCTTATGCAAAGAGATGTCCATTCGCCTTAGGCGAGAGCGCGGCTTCTGAAATGGCTGTGGGGTGGGTAACGTACGTCCCGGACACGGCACAGTTCGAGTGAAGTCATTTTAAGGGTAAACCCCCGGCAAGCTGCAGTCCCACCACGCGTTGCAAGAATACCATGTATACCTCATGGACTGTGTACTTTGTACATACCTTACTGTTTGGGGTTTTGTTTTCTTGTTTTGTTGTACTTTGTTTGTCCTAATAAGAGGTGTCGAAGAGCAATTTAATGTGAATTATTGTTGGCAATACTAACTTGACAGAATCATGAGCATTAAGAGCAGGGCACTACAGCTCTCCGTTGCACTAAACCTCTCATGATTGCTTGACATTTGTATCTGTGATACAGTTTAACCCTTCTATGAAAAACAGTACATTTGTATATATTGGTGGAAAACTCTGCCAGAAAAGCTAAAAACACTATGTCCAACTTGTAAATATGTATATGTATGTGGAAACCTGGATGATAAAGTCTGACTTGTAGAAAGTTTTAATAAACTTCGTTTCATAATGTTTGTCTCCATTTCTTGCAGTGTCTCGAGGGGAATGCAGCTTGAGTATGTTTGGTTTAATCTGAAAAAATGGGGTTTGGCCTCAGAGAGGATCAGTTCCTCTACAGTCCCTAGGCATGCTCCATCGTGCCTGAGCTGCCGGGGTCTGAGCCCTGACTCCCCGAGCTCTGCCTGGGGTTGAATCCCCATGGAGATGAGTGGGGACAGGGGATGGCTCCTGCCTCTCGGGGGGTGGAAAGGGCCTGAGATGTCCCCAGAGCTATGTGAAATGGGGTGTCCTATTCATCTGATAAATGAGGGGGAGAGGAGTTACAGCTCTGCCTCTGAACTTTAGAAACCCTATTGCCTTTCAGCACGTGCATTCGTTTCCATCTGTGCCCCGTGAGGAGAAAATGCTATGGCACTGCAAGGCTGTCATCCTGCACCTGTGTGCGCGGCAATGTGATGCTCAAGCCAGTGGAAAATCACATCTCAGGTGTCTGAAAGTAAGCAGCCAGAAGCAGAGGCAGTGGTCGAGAGCATCGGCTTTAACGGGGAGCCAGAGCCAGTGGGCAGGGGCTTGACCCCGCTGCCGGGAGGCAATGCAGAGGCCACCCAGTGCTCCCTTTAAAAACGAAGGGAAAGATTATTAGAGCTGCTTTTCTTTGTGGTGAGAAGAGAGGAGTATAAATAGCAGCAGTATCAAGGTTAGAGAATGTGCTTTCCTGAAAGAGATCAAGCCACCCTTGTAATCCACCCGGAGCGGTGAGATCATCGCTCACAAGTAGGGAGGAGGAGGAAGAGAGTCTTGATTTTTATTTATACTTTGCCTCATGTTTAACTTTGTCCTTTTGCTTGAAATCTGTTCACCAGAACAACTGCTTCCAGGCAGCTCTTTGAGCAGGAGCAACTTTTAAATACGCTCTGCTTTTAGAAGGAGAGTGGAAAGAGAAAAGGAGGGAATAGGGACCTGGTCAATGGTAAAGCCAAGTGCACTGACTTTAATTAGGCACCTTGACTCCCACTCTGAGAAACCAGCAATCTGTGCAGTAAGCATATTTTCTTAGCACTTGCTGAGTGAATGTCAGACACCAAAATATCTCAAGTTACTTTACTGATGTTATTCTTGCAAGACTTGTAAAAATACATGCGCCACATAGCCTGGCTGATTAAATTACCCCCTGCCCTACCATGCTTTCAGGCTTGGACAGAAGCCTGAAACAACTTAAAACAACTGCAGGAGGTTTGTGCTTTGGTGAAACCTTGAAAACTTTCAAAACACTTTTTTTTCCCCCCCTGCAGTTAAGTCACCCTGAGTAGGTGAATGTGTAGGTCATCCCATGACTTTATTTCACATGCGCTACACTGTAGAGCAATTAAAATAAACGCCAAATTGTAGTAACATCTGCAAACAGCCTCTGTGTTGCTTTAGGGATTATAATGCAACATCCGTTTGTACAGCAGAATAAATTGCTATTGCTTCGTAACCCCATTGTTTGTATTATTGTATACAAAGTTTCAGAGCATGTTGAAAGAACCAGCATATTAAGTGATTAAACTTCGGTGGTGGGTGTGAGAACTTTGATTTATGCAATGCATACATTTCTTTTTGAGAGAGTCATAATTTGTCTATTTTTAAATGGTCCTTTTGGATGAGGACTGCCTGAATCTCTTATGTATTTCTCAGAGCTGGTCACCATTTTCATCTTGAAGTTGCAAGATATTGCTGGCCTCTCTGAAAAGTGCTGGGAGCCTTCACTCCTCTGTTTGCTGCTGAAAACACAAAAAATTTGAGGTTTTTCACTACATCCTGGGCTCCATCCTAAACTGGCATCAAACCGCCTCCCAGTCAGGATAGATTTTACATCCTAGATATACATTTTTATCAAATCTTGATACTTCAGCTGTATTTTAGGCATCGGTTCAATAATTTTCTTTTTAAAGTAGCACAGCAGAATTTATAAACCAGCTTCCTCTTAAAGCACCAGGTAAAATAGCCAGCTCAGCAAGCTCAGGTTTAAGGTCAACATCTCTTTGCCAAGCAGGTGATACTGCTGAGGTTATTTGCAGTTAATTAAGAAGGACTGGTAGAGGTGCAGTTCTACCTACGCTAAAAAGTGCCCTGATTTTAGGAGAACACCTTCAAGTCAGTCAAAGGCACTTCTTCATCAATGTATTATTTATGAAAGAAAAGGGGGAAAAGAGCAATTTTTTATAAAGATGTGCAAGACGAAGATTCATTGCGCTTGTAAAGCCTGTGCATGCTCTTCTCTAGCTGTTTTAATGCACTGAGGGTAGGCCTGAGAGATAACTTGAAAAACACATTTTATTCAATCAGTACTGAGTGCATTCTGTCAAGCAAATCTCTTCAGATTATCTCCTTATACAAAAGCAGGGTTTTTTTCCACTTTTTTTCATGCTACTGCATTCTGTCAGGGAAAAAACCCAACGGTTAGCATTATGGCACTGCACAGATTTAGCAGCACAAAGAAATATCCTATGCAAATGCTCATACAAATATAATGTTTTCCTAGTGAGCATTGAGAAGAATAGCTTGACATGTAACCACAGTTTGAATTAATCCCTTGCAAAAAATGGCTTTGTTAAATGCAACATCTCTGAGAACTATTGTTGGTAAAAGTACCGTGAAATTTGCAACAGTTCTTACCATCATCCTCCATGACTTGCAACATCCTGGTCTCCAGGTGAAATCCAGAGTTCAGATTTCAGCCAGGGTCAATTTTTGTTGCAGCAAAACGACAAATCCTTCAGGATATGAGTTCACAGCAGGAACATTTTTAAATTTTTTTTATGAAGCCAGCTATTTAGAAAATGCCTTAAAGAAAACTCATTAGTTTTCATTGCACTGTATGTATTTATTTACGGTATTTAACCAGCTAAACAAGCTAATGTGCAGCACTTCATTTCCTAATTTGGCTTTGAAGGCAGAGCAGCAGAAGTATCAATTACATTCTGTCAAACGCAAACATTAACATAACTGTATGAAGCAATCATGTTTCTAACAACAGCAAGCACTGCCCAGAGGACCAAAATAAATAAAATTCATAGAGCAAGAGGTAACGCTTTTCTTTACGGCAGGATTAGGGCTGGCGAGCGCCCGTGCGCTTTTCTCTCAAGGGACGTTTGTCTTGCAGGGCTGCGGAGGCAGCTCCGGCACTGAAATGCAGGTGATTAATAAGGCACTTGCTCACCGAGGGCACGGTCTCATCACAGCGGGTGTGGATTTCTGCATGCAACTCCCACTGTTATTAATGGTTAATTAATGTGTAATTTGCAGAAAGAGATGAAACTGGGACCTCGGCGGTGTGTTGTGAGCACACATGCGGGCTTATCATTCAACGAAATATGAGGGTGACACGAAGGGTGGATGACAGAAAATAAGTGCAGCATGAATCAGCTGCCCCGTGTTTATCATACGGCGTTGTTGTGGGAAAACATTCACCTCCACCGACTACCGTCTCCTGCCAACAACAAAAGTCAAGTTTGATAAATTATTAGTGGAGATATTCTCAGTGGCTTTGCTTAGATTTTACTCTTCTTGCGCAAATTGCAGATTAGGAAAGGATTAAGTAACAACAGTGTGGCTAAAGTATTACACATCGCACTGGCGATTAGCCAAAGAATGTAGCATGCAAAAGCTGACATTGCCTAAGAAATCAAATATAGCTCCAGTCACCGCAGAAAATGACTCTTCCCCACCACCTAAGGTAGTTGCTCAGTTTCTCCTGTGTCACCCAGTGTCTTGCACCAGCAAATTGTTCATTACAGGGCTTTTTTTTTCCCTTTTCTTTTTTTTTTCTTTTCTTAACTTCCAGGTAGTGACAAAGCCATAAATATTTAGATGAATCACGGAAACCATAAATGTAATTGAGTGTAAAGCCATTGTTGGGCCTTGTGATAACATCCCTGTCAAGTCTCGACTTGTCAGATTCGTAGTCTCGCTGAGGTTCAAATACTGCAAGTTTTCTTTGCCGTGCTAGCAACTGGGGGCAAAGTATCAACATAATTTGGGGCAAAAGGCTGTGCAAGACTCTCATGCCCAATGACAATGACTTTGCAGATGGGCAGTGGGATGCCTGGTGTGAGTAAGTGTTTCCTCCAGTGAGTAAAGGCGGCAGAATAAGGCTCACAAAGGTCAGCCAGCAGCCTTCATTGCAAAGCAGGGGGGCAATGGCCCTCAAACACCAGGCAAAAGGGTAAAACCAACCCTGGTGCTTGTGTGAAATTTTCGGCTGACAAGCGTGGTGGTGAACCCTGCTCTTCCCCACCCTTGTGCCCGTGCTCAAGCTGCCTGGATCTGGGCGAAGGCAGGATGCTCTCAGGCCAACAGGTCCACCCGGCCCCAGGAGAAGCACCGTCAGGTGCCTATAGATGTGCATGGGAGCAGGGCAGGTGCATGTTGGGCTCCCCCTGTGAGGTCCCCCCCTGCAGCACAGGGACAGAGTACTTAAAGGGGGCCTACAGGAAAGATGGGGAGGGACTCTTTAACAGGGAGTGTGGTGATAGGATGAGGGGTAATGGTTTTAAACTGAAAGAGGGTAGATTTAGAGTAGATATTAGGAAGAAATTCTTTACTGTGAGGGTGGTGAGACAGCGGAACAGGTTGCCCAGAGAGGTTGTGGATGCCCCATCCCTGGAAGTGTTCAAGGCCAGGTTGGATGGGGCTCTGAGCAACCTGATCTAGTTGAAGATGTCCCTGCCCACGGCAGGGGGGTTGGACTAAATGACCTTTAAGGTCCCTTCCAACCCAAACCATTCTATGATTCTATGATGCCGTGGCCCACTGATGCTCTCCTTGGTGTTTAACCATCCTCTGAGGACCTTCCTATCGAACAGTTGCTTGGCTGCCTTTGACCCTACCTGTACTTTGGGGTCTCGAAATCCTGCGGCAGTGAATTCCAGAGCAGAGCTTGGCACTGTTCCATTAAATTACCTTACTTGGAAAGGGGATATGCTCCAAAACACAAGAATACAACTGGAACCACTGAAGAGAACTGACTGGCCCAGTTTTGGAGGGACTTCGTGCTGCCCTCACTCCCTGTGGGGAGCGGAGGTGATGCAGAATGGCCATGCTCTGTGCGGGGCAGCAGCCTTCGGAGGCGGCCATGGTGAACGGGGCTACAGGGACTTGAGCCCAGTGGGCAGAAAGGCTTAATCAGCTAACTCATGGGATTTTTTATCACGGGTCTTGTGATCCTTAATATGTAAGAGCCTTGTCTGCTGAAGTTAATGATCTCCAGGAGATTTCAAACTTTCATGTGCGGAAGAACAAGCAAGTGTCCGGTCCTTGCTGTTGCAAAGAGGGATTTGAAAGGATGTGTCCTGTGAACTCTTTGGACTATTCCCCACTCGTCACCAGTGTCCCAGCCAGATGCTCCATGCTGCAAAGGCATGCTTGACTGGCTGCCTCATTACAGCAGGCAGAGCTTTGTCCTTTTATCTGAGCAGCTGGCAAAACAATAAATTAAAAAATAAGGCAAAGTCAGCAAATAGTTTTCTTTCCACATGCGCGAGGTTAGAGGAACTACTCCCCCTCCTCCAGAATGATTTCCTGACTTGGTAACATTTTTCTCAATCTCCTCTTCTTCTTTTTCTTCAGGCGCATAGGGAAAAGCAGGATTTGTGGTTCGGCTGGAGGGGGAGCACCTTTTCGTGCTGTGCTGTGGCCCGAGCGCTTCATGTGCATGCGTCAACCGCAGCGAAAGCCCTGAAAAATCTCTCTTCAGCATTCAGAGAGCATCTCTCTTCAGGGGCAAGGATGGTTTTGCAGGGAGAGTGCTTTTGACACATCAGGATGGGACCTGGAGTCCAGCCATGAGGGGCCCCCTGCCTGCAGGCTCGTCGGGCAAGCCATGCTTGCTGGAGACAGTGCCGCCTTTAATAGCCACAGCCAGGAGATGGTCCATCCTGAGATGTCTTTCTGTGCTGGAGGGAAGATGCTGGAGTTGCATCTAGCTTCAGTCCCTGGCACTGGGTATGGCTCGGGGTTGCCGGCAGGTCTTTGGCTGCGGGATGCGGTCCAGGCTGCTCCCGCAGGGCACTGGGGGCCGAGCTGGTGACCTGGGACTGGCCCGTGATGCACATCCTGCTCACGCATGTGGGCATGAGTCAGAGCCCGAGAGGAAGAGGCCTCACCCAGCGGCAGGCAGAGCGGTGCAGGGAGCTCGGGCTGTGTGCTGATGGAGGAGATTGCTTATTACTGCTGACAGCCTCCCTCGGCAAAATCCCCGCACCCGTGGTGCGGGGAAGGGGGTTTGGAGCTAACCAGGTCTCCCACCGCGTTGTCAGAGGTTCAATGCAAACGCTGCGGCATGGGTTTGTAGAGGCGGCTCAGAGCCTGCCTTTCGGCATCTGCATACCTTAGAGCTGAAGGAATCGCTGGGGGTTCCCAGCACACACATCCCAAGCCGCTGCCCATCTCCCACGGCGAGAAGGCACAGCAAGGCTGAGCAGATCCATGTCCATCCCCCTCTACTCTGCTCTTGTGAGACCCCACCTGGAGTACTGTGTTCAGCTCTGGACCTGTTGGAGTGGGTTCAGAGGAGGGCCATGGAGATGACCAGGGGTCTGAAGCACCTCCCATATGAGGGCAAGCTGAGAGAGTTGAGGTTGTTTAGCCTAGAGAAGAGAAAGTTCCAGGGAAACCTTATAGCAGCCTTCCAGTACTTAGAGGGGGCCTTACAGGAAAGATGGGGAGGGACTCTTTATCAGGGAGTGTAGTGATAGGATGAGGGGTAACGGTTTCAAACTGAAAGAGTGGATATTAGGAAGAAATTCTTTACTGTGAGGGTGGTGAGAGTGGAACAGGTTGCCCAGAGAAGTTGTGGATGCCCCATCCCTGGAAGTGTTCAAGGCCAGGTTGGATGAGGTTTTGAGCAACCCGATCTAGCGGAAGGTATCCCTGCCCATGGCAGGGGGGTTGGAACTAGATGATCTTTAAGGTCCCTTCCAACCCAAACCATTCTATGATTTTATGCTGGGCAGAGGCCTCTGGAAAAGCAATGCAGTCTTTACCTCTCTTCTTCCCGTCGGCTTGACCTCGGTCTTGCTATCTTCAGCAACCGTCAGCTGCTCTTTACCCAGGTGCTAATCTTACTTGGGCACTGAGACAGCTGAGCAATGGTCCAGCCGGCCCCCCGCCACCTTGCCAGGAAACAGGTGTCCAGATCTCTTGACCCCTGCAAATGATTTTATTTAATTAGTTCTGGAAATTTTCCACTACAGTCTTAGAGTGATTCTTCCAGAAATCGGGTTCATCTTTGCTAGGAAGCTGTTGCATGTCTCAAGCAAAGGGCAGGATGAATCATTTTGGAAAGCACTCCAGCTGCAATGGACTCCCAGCACCACGTGAGTGGAAGCGTGTCCATGGTTTGGCACTTAAACACAAGGCCCTGAACATCCCCAGCGCTTCTCGGAGTCAATGGGATGACTTGCATAGAGTAACAAATGCCGGGTGTGACTGTAGGCAGTTCAAAAGCCAGCAGTAGATGGACCGTGGTCCTGCAGCTGTGGCTTTAAAAAGGGTTATTGATTCATTCGGAAACAACTAGCAGGAGTGACTTTGTAACAGACAGGATTATTTAGTCTCACCGCATGCCAAACATAGACAAAGTACGGTTCAGCCCTGAGATTCTTCCAGTGACCATCATATAAAACACCCAACAGGATAATGCACCAGTGCTTGATAATGCACTTTCCTTAGGTATGTTTGCAGCCGCCGAAGGACGTGTTTAGCTCTCAAAAGCAAAGGGAGAAATTCTTCAGTTAAAGACCTAATAGGGAGGAGTTAAGTTGGGAAGCAATCAACCAAAATAAAAAAAGTACAAGGATAATGATACAGCCATGATCCAGGCTGCTGCAGCAGTTCAAAGTAATGAGAAATAAATCACTCTCTGTGTGTACAGAAAATGCGTGCTCTGAAAACACACAAGAACAGC